GCATTTAAGAGCAGTTGGAGGCCATGGAAGGAGTGTTGTATGGCATTGAAGCTCGTTTGGAGGTTTGTTAAGACAGTGTCCAATGAAGGGCCAGATGTATACAAAATGGTGTCGCCTGCGTAGAGGTGGATCTGAGAGTCACCAGCAGCAAGAGCGACATCATTGATATACACAGAGAATAGAGTCGGCCCAATAATTGAACCCTGTGGCACCCCCATAGAGACTGCCAGAGGTCCAGAAAACAGCCCCTCCGATTTGACACATTGAACTCTATCTGAGAAGTAGTTGGTGAACCAGCCGAGGCAGTCATTTGAGAAACCAATGCTATTTAGTCTGCCAATAAGAATGCGGTGGTTGACAGAGTTGAAAGCCTTGGCCAGGTCGATGAAGACGGCAGCACAGTACTGTCTATTATCGATCGCGGTTATTATATCGTTTAGGACCTTGAGCGTGACTGAGGTGCACCCATGACCAGCTCGGAAACCAGATTGCATAGCAGAGAAGGTACGGTGGGATTCGAAATGGTTGGTGATTTGTTTGTTAACTTGGCTTTCAAATACTTTTGAAAGGCAGGGCAGGATGGATATAGGTCTGTAACAGTTTGGATCTAAAGTGTCACCCCCTTTGAAGAGGGGGGTGACCGCGGCAGCTTTCCAATCTCTGGTGATCTCAGACGATACGAAAGGTAAGGTTGAACAGGCTAGTAATAGGGGTTGCGACAATTTCGGCGGCTAATTTTAGAAAGAAAGGGTCCAGATTCAGATTCAGATTCAGATCCAGATTAAACATTATTTCTACTTGGTGTTTTCCTTTCTGAACTATTGAAAGGTAGCTGATATGCATTTTTCTACATTGTAATGGACACAGTGCAACCTTTGTTAGCTTGGCTGCTGGCAGGCTTCGGTGCAGTACAGCAAAGCCAAGTCAACCCATGCTCATGGTTCTCACTGGGGAAGTGAAATGATAGGCTACAATGACTTTGCTCATGATCATGTACGCCGCAAATTAAATGTAACTATAAGTTCCTTGAATTGTCTTTATTGGGTGCCTTTTCATTATCTGGATAGACACTTGTGGTTTCTAGCTAACGTTACACCAATCAACTACATTGAAATATTTTTCATTGTGTTTCCTTCTACACACACGTAGCTATGCGGCGATCCCTTGCCTGTTTCCTGAATCGCGAGCTCACACACACCACAGTAACCACCAACCAGCCCAGCGGAAGCCCTTGATGAGTACCGCAGCGATTCCCCATTTTCCTAAAACACGTTGGCTATAAATAGGCTAGTTAACAAACTGTCAGTGGAAGCCCTCACTGCATACTGACTCAGACGGTCAGGGTGGAAGTGATGTAGGCCAGTGGATAATATCGTAGTCTCATTCCCATGTTCTACTCCTTGATTGGTGGAGAGGTTAACTGTTTGTTTAGGCAATTTTTTTAGGCTTCTCCTAACCTGTGCAGTGGCAGGCAAGAAAAGACCCTTAGCGTAGCCTCTTCTAGCCTGGGCATTTAGTGCCCTCTGTTGGAGAATAGTTATACTACTTGTTTGGAGATACTGCTTGTTTGGCCCATGATATTCGGAGATTTGCTATAAAAAGCAAGGCCCATGGTCATTAGGACATGCAAAGAAAAACATCTTCAAACATTTTGCAATTTGAAAACAAAAATGTGTATTTCTTATCGGTCGAAGTATACCCTCCATGTTTCAGTCTGTTTTCTTCTGTTTGGTGCCTACTAAACACTACTCGGGACAATACCCTGTGAGTGTATAGGAGTAATGGTGCCAGATCTCAACATGGCTGTTGTCCAAAGAATTCGAGCGGATGAGAAAAAAAATGGTGTCTGCCTTCTCTCCCTCTCCAATTTCGTTCTGGTACTGCTCAGCCACAAGCTCTTGGTCTGCTCTGCCTAGCATTTTTTTTTTTTCCTTCATCACTATTCGGTTGTAATTGTTTTTTTTGTTTTTTTGTTTTTTAGTCATTTAGCAGACGCTCTTATCCAGAGCGACTTACATGAGCAATTAGGGTTAAGTGCCTTGCTCAAGGGCACATCGACAGATTTTTCACCTAGTCGGCTCGGGGATTAGAACCAGCAACCTTTCGGTTACTGGCACAACGCTCTTAACCACTAAGCTACCTTTAGCCTACACCACCCACAGTTGTAGGTAGGCAATACATAGGCTACTGTGAAATTAATTTTATTTTTTCTTGGAATAGAAACACCATAATATAAATCAATTTAATTAAGCTAAAATATCAGAAAGAAATCATAAAAAGTAAATGCCAGTATCAGCTTCTTTTCATAAATAAAATAAAATAAATAATTTCAAACTGCAGCGGTCAAATTATTTGCTCACAGAAGCAAGAACCAACAAGCTTGACATATGTATTGAGCATGGGAATTATTATTTATGATTTCTTTCTGATATTTTAGCTTAATTAAATTGATTTATATGATGTTTTTTCTATTCCGAGAAAAACAAAAATACATTTTACAGTAGCCTATATATTGCCTACCTAAAACATATTTTAATACATTTGAAGTCCTTCACAATAGAAACTACATATCCTAATGTTAGAAAGTAGAATATAAACTATATATAGGCTACTGTGGGTGGGGTAGGATAAATAATTACAACCGAATAGCCCCAATTAAAAGAATAGTGATAAAGGAAATGAAAAATGCTAGGCAGAGCATGCCCAGAGCTTGTGGCTGAGAAGAACCAGAGCGAAATTGGAGCACAGAGAGAAGGCAGACACCCTTTTCTAAGTCTGCTCGAATTACACTCTACTCCTCACTCTACACTTACATGCTCTGGCATTCTCATGCTCATTTGAACGACTTTGTATCTCATTCGAACGACTTAGTATCTTGTTTGAACAACTTAGTAACTGGCATTCAAAAGCAGCCCTGCCTTAGGCTATCGAAGAACTGTCAATGAACAATCATGTCAATGGATGGAATCAGTGAATGAATGGCTGCAGCAACCGTCACATGGTCTGCAAGCTGCTTAACATATGAGGCATAATTAGACAAAATAACAAAATAGCTTGTTCAAACGACTTTGTATCTCATTCGAACGACTTAGTATCTTGTTTGAACGACTTAGGAAAAAAAACAACTTAGTATCTCGTTTGAACTTTTTAAACAATTACATTTTTTTACTAAGTCGTTCAAATTAGATACTAAGTCGTTTGAACAAGATACTAAGTCGTTCGAATGAGATACAAAGTCGTTTGAACAAGCTATTTTGTTATTTTGTCTAATTATGCCTCATATGTTAAGCAGCTTGCAGACCACGTGACGGTTGCTGCAGCCATTCATTCACTGATTCCATCCATTGATATGATTGTTCATTGACAGTTCTTCGATGTTCAAACAAGCATTCCAAGTCTTCGTTTTTTGTTGTTGTTGTCCACAATCACAAAATAAGTGTATGCAGGCCTACATGTTTTAGCTGTTTGCTGAGTAATAAATCCACAGTCACAAAGGAAGTGTATGTAGGTCTACATGTTTTTAATCAATGCTCATTTTCACCATGAAAATCATATTTTATGCAACACAGGAAAACGATATAAGACTTTGGTCTTGTTTATTCAGCAACTTCTTTGCCCTGTAAGAAGAAAGAAAGAATATAATGGATGAGTATTAATAATGAACATGCTAAATATATTAATATATGTACATTTGGAAATCATGTAATGGATCAAACATTTAAGGCTCAGTGCTAAGCTTTGATTTTCAATTTTGACGTACCAACTTAGTTTTAATTAATCTATTTATGTTTTGACCCGAAATGTTATTCTTGGAGATCTTAAATACATTTTAGTATTTTATTTAATTAATTAATTAAATATGTAAATTTTAATTTTTAAATTTTTTGTGTAAAAGTTCTGTATTGACCTCTGTGAAGACTGCATCATAGGTGGTGTTGATGTGGCCATATGTGACTTGTTTCAGGAAACTAGGTGTATGTCGCGTGTCACCACTTCACAGGAGCGCCATTTGAACATAAACTTTATTTATTTATCAAAATGCGTTTTTTTGGCAGATTGCCTTCTGGAACATGTGAACTTTCATGTGCCTTAATAACAAACTTGTATGCCATCTGTAAATACGAATACAATTGTTAAATTACGAGACTAGTTGGTTAAGCAATGGAAAAAGACAGCAACCTTCCCGCTAGATTGGCTGAGATACTGAGTGGGCTGGACATGCCGAGAGATGAGTTCGGATTGGTCTGCCATGTAGCACGCTACTGTCTATAATATGAGCTGGTCGGTATGTGTAGGTAATCCTTTCTAACGCGTTGTTTTTGAAAGATATCACGTCGTACAATTGCATAAGTGTTGCTCTCCACTTTCTGGAGGACCAAGTTTTGAAATTAGGAGAATTAGAGTATGATAGCTAAGGAGATGGAGACAATTCTGGTGTTTCATTGCAAATATGCAGACAGAGTCGAAAAGAGAACACACAGAAGGCTGTTGTATAAAACACCTGTCTCCGGATTACATCTTCAAACTAAAGGCAACCATGGCATCCATGACAGAGAGGGAGAAGTGTCCATCCATGTATATGGGCAAGATAGTCTAGCTAGCTACATTTTCAGACATTACACGTTTCTAATTTTGTCAGAATGTCGTTTTCATTTCAAGTTAAAGTGTACTGTTAGCTAGCTAGCTAACGTTAGCTGGCTGGCTAGCTAGCTAACATTACGTGTATGATCTGTGTAGTAATATTATTAGTATCTCAGAGCCATTTTCATTGCTAGTTATAGCCTAATGTTAGCTAGCTAACATTGAACCTGGTTGGTTAGCTACCTGCAGATTCAGTCAGGGTAGTAACATTAGAGTTGGGATTATGGTTAATTGTTTAGCTAGCTAGCTACATGTCTAAACAAAAGACTCCACTATGCAAGTAACTATTTCAATAGAATTTTTATGATGTCACTGCGACAACTGTCGATAGACGTAGCTGATAAATTCGCTCTGGCTATCTACTCCGACTTCAGAGCACTCTCGTATGACTGTGCCAGAGCGCAGAATAACTAACAAATGTACGAAAGCTCAACACCCATTGAATATGGGCAGTGTCAGTAAACGTTGGCAAAAAAGCGTAATTCAATTGTTGCCAGCAGCACAGTTATGGTCACCAACGCTCTGGTAACATAAAAACAGCCTCTGGATAACATAAAAATTGACAATCTGACAACGCTCTGAGTTTACAAATGTCCAGAGCACACTCTGGCACTCCAGATTAAATTTACGAACACACCCGTAGTATAAACCAGCCTTTAGTCTTGAAATCTTTGGTTGTTTAGTACATAGCCTCACATGTGAATCCTTAAAGAAATGGGTGGGGCTAGGGCTTAAGTGGGTGTGAACGATGCTGAATGGGTGTAGACAAAGAAGAGCTCTCCAGTAGGTGTACCAAAACATTCAAGGGCCCTTTTCTCAAAAGTGAGGTTACAAGTTTATCAACTTTAAAAGCAGAATTACTTTTCCATTGTTCCTCAACTGTAGTGCATGATATATATTTTTTTATACAAGTCTCTACTTTTATCCAATGTCAAAAAACACCATTTCAAATTTTGCTACATAAGACTAAATCGAGCCAGTCGGTCACATATTTGATCATTTAGTCAGATACAGGTTTAGCAGCAGCTCTGTACCTTTCCAGTGTCGCGGGTCTTGGCTCTGAGCTTGTTGACTTGAGTCTCAGCGATGTCAGCACGCTCCTCAGCCTCCTCCAGCTCATGCTGAACCTTCCTGAACTTAGACATGTGGCTGTTGGCTTGTTCCTCCTGGGTGAGGAAAAGAGAGGAGTAAACATCAGTATTCAAAATTTGAAGCTTCAGGTAGCATATTAATATTCTTTTTTTCTTAAGGTATTTCAACGTTTTTATTTATTTTATTGACTGATTTAGGAATAGCAATGTTCATAGGGAGATAGATGATACAGCAGAGAACGTGAGTGGTGGAACGGGGGAACAAACCAATGCCTCCAGGGGCCTCCAGGGGCCTCCAGGGGCCTCCAGGGGCCAATCAGAAGTATTAACTCCCCTTGGATATCTTCACATTTAATTGTGTTACAAATTTGGATTAAAATGGATTTAAATTACATTTTTTGTCAACGATCTACAAAAAAAATGTCAAAGTGGAAGAATGATTCGTTTTTTTTTTTAATTGATGAAAAATAAAACCCTAATATATCTGGACTAGATAAGTATTCTCACCCCTGAGTCAATACATGATGTAAACACCTTTTGGGAGCAACTACAGCGATGGGCAAGTCTCTAAGACCTTTGCACACCGGGATTGTGCAATATTTGCCCATTTACTAATTTCAAAATTCTTCTAGCTTTGTCAATTTGGATGTTGATCATTGCTAGACAGCCATGTTTATGTCTTGCCATAGTTTTTCAAGTCAAAATCCCTCTCATTAGCTACCCACAGTTAATACTGAGCGAGTAGGTGTTTGGTGTGAGTAGTTGAATTCGTCTGTGAGCTTCATTTATAGGCTGTTTTACATTTTATTTAGTTGAGTGTATCGACTGACAGCCTGTACAGGTCTGGACCGATTTTTGAATATTTTTTTGGTGCCTATTTTTACTCACGTATGTGTGATCAATATGGCTGTAGGCAGAAGCCTTGCTTTGGCGTTTCTAATTTATTATTCAATTCAAACGTGGAGATGATCCCCCACTCCCATTCCAGCTACACCGAAAGAAGTTGATGACGCATGGGAGGAATTACTCCCATTCACAGTGTGAACTTTGGCCATGAACAACTTTAGCGGCACCTGATATCACCGTTCCTCCTTCCCTTTAGTTTCTTTACTTTACTTTAGTCAAAACTGTAACTAGGCCACTCCGGAACATTCATTTACTTCTAGGTAAGAAAGCCCCAGTGTAGATTTGGCCTTGTGTTTAGGTTATTGTCTTGCTGAAAGGTTAATTCGTCCCCCAGAACCAGACAGAACCAGGTTTTTCATCTTACAGGGATTTTGCCTGTTCTTATCTCCATTCTGTTTTTTGTTTTTTTAATCCTGAAACAATCCCCAGTCCTTGCCGATGACAAGCATACCGATAACATGATGCAGCCATCACCATGCTTGAAAATATGGACAGTGATACTCAGTGATGTGTTGTTTTAGATTTGCCCCAAACATGACGCTTTGTATTCAGGACAAAATGTTTTCCTTTGCCAGTATTACTTTAGTGCCTTGTTGCAAACAGGATGCATGTTTTTATACTGTACAGGCTTCCTTCTTTTCACTCTGTAATTTAGATTAATATTGTGGAGTAACTACAATGTTGTTGATCCCATCCTCAGTTTTCTCCCATCACAGCCATTAAACACTGTACTGTTTATAAAATCACCATTGGCCTCATGGTGAAATCTCTGAGCGGTTTCATTCCTCTCCGGCAACTCAGTTAGGAAGGACACCTGTATCTTTGTAGTGACTGGGTGTATTGATACACCATCCAAAGCCTAATTAATAACTTCACCACCCTCAAAGGGTTATTCAGTGTCTGCTTTTTTTTACAGCCATCTACCACTAGGAATTGAAAGAGCCTAAACTATGGACATTAAACTGTATGGACATAGGGCGGCAGGTAGCTTAGTGGTTAAGAGTGTTGTGCCAGTAACCGAAAGGTCGCTGGTTCTAATCCCCGAGCCGACTAGGTGAAAAATCTGTCAATGTGCCCTTGATCAGAGCACTTAACCCTAATTGCTCCTGTGAGTCGCTCTGGATAAGAGTGTCTGCTAAATGATGTAAATGCATTTAAGTTTTGTAATGTCTACAAGGGAAAAAAATATGTTTTTGAATGTATGCTTTCAGGGTATTTGACTAAGTATGTGACTCACCGCTTCCTCAGCCTGCCTCTTGTAGGCCTTGACTTTCATCTGCAGCTTATCTACCAGGTCCTGAAGTCTGTTAACGTTCTTCTTATCCTCCTCAGTCTGTGGGAGAAGATCAAAGAATCAATGCCCCATAGTTTTATACACAAACCTGTCTGTGTTAGTGTCAAGTTTGTGAAGAAGGTACTTTCTCTTACCTGGTAGGTGAGCTCCTTGACTCTGCGCTCATACTTGCGGACTCCCTTGACCGCGTCTACACCTCTTCTCTGCTCAGCCTCCACCTCAGTCTCCAGCTCACGCACCTTTGTGGAAAAAATGGACGTAGGCATTTATTTGAGGTGGTGAAATCAGATTGTCTGTTCCTATGTACTTTTACAATTTTAATTGAAGGGTGTCTGTAATGATAACAACATCTTTTCATTCTCTAGGTGAGAGAAAAAGTCATTACTCAATGCTCCTGTGTATTTGTATATGATCAAATACATTTCCAGCAATCAGTCTTTCAATCAACTCTAATCCACCCTGCTATTAACTCACCCTGGACTCCAGTTTCTGGAGCTGCTTCTTGCCTCCCTTCATGGCCAGATTCTCAGCCTCATCCAGGCGGTGCTGCAGGTCCTTGACTGTGACCTCCAGGTTCTTCTTCATCCTCTCCAGGTGAGAGCTAGTGTCCTGCTCCTTCTTTAGCTCCTCAGCCATCATGGCCGCCTGGAATGGTAGTTTGTTTAATTTATGCACCAATTGGCAATAATCATAACGTCCCTATGAGATCTTTGTTGTGGTAAACCAGCCCGGCTACCATTGGCCCTTGGATACAAATCAAGTGGATGTAATTGACTCACGTCAGTGATGGCCTTCTTGGCCTTCTCCTCTGCATTCCTGGCCTCCTGGACGATGTCCTCCACCTCTCCCTGCACCTGCACCAGGTCAGACTCCAGCTTCTTCTTGGAGTTCAGAAGGCTGGTGTTCTGGAGGAGGTAAAACGATTTGTTTGACTCTCAAGAGAACTTACAAGTCACAAAGCTGAAATTATTAAAATCTGAACGCAAGCAATGTCAAATTCCAGGTGTGTGTAAACGGTATGTTAGGTAGAGTTTAATTTGAAGGGGCTTTTGACCCGTACCTGGGAGTGCAGCAGTCCAACGCGCTCGCTGGCGTCTACCAGCTCAGTCTCAGCCACTTTGCGGCCTCTCTCTGTCTGCTCCAGAGCAACTCTCAGCTCCTCGATTTCAGCCACCATCAGACCGTTTCTGCGCTCCACCATGGCTGCCTGCTCCTTCATATCATCTGAGGCGCGGACGGCGTCATCAAGGTGCAATTGTGCATCCTGGGGTTCACAATGACATAGGTTCATTAGGAGTCACTGACCACCTTCCAGAGACACTTGAAACCCCACCTCTTTAAGGAATATCTGGGATAGGATAAAGTAATCCTTCTACTCCCCCCTTACCCCCCCCCAAATTTTTTTTTTTTAGAATAATAATCATATTATAAAGTGGTTGTCCCACTGGCTATAAGGTGAATGCACCAATTTGTAAGTCGCTCTGGATAAGAGTGTCTGCTAAATGACGTAAATGTAAATATAAATTACTTGTGGAAGTAGAGGTGATAGGATGGGTGATAGAAATGCTCATTGGTAAGAATTTCCCCAATATCACTACCGTTCAACAGCATATTAGTTAACTCTATTAAATTCCTCTGTGCTATAATTTTCTACAGATTCACAAGCAAATCCCTCCCCAGTCCCTTTACCTTGAGCTGTCCCTGGACATTCCTCAGCTGTTTCTGGGCCTCAGCGGCCTGCCTGTTGGAGTGGCTCAGCTGGACCTCCATCTCGTTCAGGTCTCCCTCCATCTTCTTCTTCACCCTCAGGGCGTCATTCCTGCTCCGGACCTCAGAGTCCAGGTTGCTCTGCATGGAGTCAACCATCCTCTGGCTGTTCCTCTTGATCTGCTCCATCTCCTCGTCCTTCTCAGCCAGCTTCCTGTCCACCTCACCCTTGATCTGGTTCAGCTCCAGCTGCACACGCAGAATCTTGGATTCCTCATGTTCCAGTGTTCCCTGAACAAAGAGAAGCAGTCAGGCAAATTGTGTTCAATACATTTGGATGTGTATAACACAAGGAATTAAATATATATGACTACAATAAACACCAATACAGGGAGTGTTGGACTGTAGCTGGCATTGGCTAGTGTACCACTTTAGTTGTATTGTTTGTATATCGTATTTTAAATTTGTGTGACTGTCCTTGTCTATCAGGGTTTTGTTACTTGTCATGTTTTGTGTTTTTAGTGGACCCCAGGAAGAGTAGCTGATGCTTCTGCAATAGCTCATGGGGATAACACTATTTTCCCAATCAAACAGCTGTAGTTTGTACCTCAGCCTCCTCCAGAGCGGTCTGGATCTCAGACTTCTCGGTCTCCACAGTCTTCTTGGCCTTCTCCAGCTCATGGATGCTCTTGCCAGTCTCTCCGATCTGCTCAGTCAGGTCAGAGATCTCCTCTGCACACACAAACACAGGAGCAGTTTAGACTTGGGAGATTTTGGGGGATATTGCCAATGCAATGAAGTTGACATTGAATCATAATAATTACTGGGGCCGAGCTCCCCGCAATCCACTGTAATAGCTACTGTAAATTGGACATTGCAGTTAGATTAACAAGATGTTAAGCTTTCTGCCCATATAAGACATGTCTATGTCCTGGAAAATTTGCTGTTACTTACAACAGTCATGCTAATCACATTAGCGCAGGTTAGCTCAACTGTCCTGTATATGGGACACCGATCCCGTAGAGGTTAACCAATAGCTACCCGGACTATCTGCATTGTCTCTTTTTGCACTAAATCATCACATGTGCTGCTGTTACTGTTTATTATCTATACCTATATGCAAAAATCTACCTCAATTATCTCGTACCCCTGCACATGGACTCTGTACTTTTACCCCGTGTATAGAGCCTAGTTATCATTACTCATTGTGTATTTTTTTCCTTGGGTTATAATTTTTCTATAATTTCTCTTTTCTTTCTCTTTGCATTGTTGGGAAGGGCCCGTAAGTAAGCATTTCACTGTTAGCCTACACCTGTTGTTTACGAAGCCTGTGACAAATACATTTTCATTCATGAAATTAATCAGCACTTCATAGGGTCTTGCAAATCTAATTGCCCCCACTTCCTTGGGTCGTTCAAAGGAATACCGATTACAAGTTTTTTTTTAAATGGTATAATAGAAAATGTTGAAGATTACAGATTACAGATTACAGATTACTGCTGTCAAATGCTCACGTTGCAGGTTCTTGTTCTCTCTCTTCAGAGTCTCCAGATGATCCAAAGCCTCCTCGTAGGAGTTCTTCATCTTGAAGAGTTCAGTGCTCATAGAGCGAACCTCCTTCTGAGCTCCTTCCAGCTCAGCCTGACCCTCCTCATACTTCTGCTTCCACTCTGCCAGAACCTAGGGAAATCCATTAGAAGTCATTGATGAAGTTTGGAATCAGAAATATGCTACAATTATATTACAATTGATCATATAGCAGACAGAAAATATCACCCTAGCATGAGGTTTATTCATTTTAACCTTGTCAAAGTTTCTCTGCTTCTTGTCGAGGTTGGCAGCCATTGCGTTGGCTCTCTCAACATCAATCATGAGGTCCTCCACCTCTCCCTGCAGCCTCTGCTTGGTCTTCTCCAGGGAGGCGCACTTGGAGTTTGTTGCCTCAATGGTCTCCTCAGCCTCCTGCAGACGCTGGGCCAGCTTCTTCCTTATGGACGACAGACGGTGTACAAATGTTAAAATACATATCAACGTAATATTTTCTTAGAGCCCCCTACCACCCTCACCATCCACACCGTATGTTTGAGTTTTTGCTGTTGAGTGTGACTCACTTGGCCTCCTCCAGCTCCTCTGTGCGCTGGATGGCATCAGTTTCATACTTAGTCCTCCACTGAGCCACCTCACTGTTGGCCTTAGACATGCCGCGTTGCAGCTCTGCCTTGGCCTCCTGCTCCTCCTCAAACTGCTCCCTCAGGAGGTCACAGTCATGGCGGGCAGACTGGACACCGTGGGCCAGTGCGTTTTTAGCCTTTGCGAGAGAAAGAGAGAAATATAAAGACTAAGAGAGATAGTAAAACAAATGACAGTAGACGTCTCTGAGGGTGGCCTAGTCACCGTCTATATCAGGGGTGGGCAATCATTTTGTCTCGAGGGCCACATCAGGATAAAAAAAATCAGTTGAGGGCCACACAGATTTTTTCGGACCGATTTGTTCGTCAGAGAAATATGCGGGCCAGAACATTTTTATTTAATTTAACACTTAATGGTCCATTAGAAAGTACGTCGAAATTATATATAGTTTTAGACATTCAAGAGTGCCCCCCCCCCACCAAATAACCCTCAAATAAAATCTCCCCCGGGCCAGATTTAATGGGCAGGCAGGCCGGATATGTTTCCCATCCCTTGTCTATACGAAGATATGGCTCTAAAGTCTGTGGTCAGTGGTGTCCGTTTTGAGTCCCTTACCTTGACCTCCTCCTCAATCTGCCTCTTCAGCTCCTCCACCTGCTGAGTGAAGGCCTGTTTTCCTCTGGTCAGCTGAGACACCAGGGATTCCTTCTCCTCTAGCTGGCGGCCAAACTCACCTGCAGGGAAAGAGGAACGTCTTGTTAATGGGGTCTCTGTTCTCTAAGATTGAAAAATGTGTTTTTTACGGTAACATAAGGCAGTGTTAGGTCTTGAATAGTCGGGGTTGGGTGGATAACTTTCTAAATGTAATCCGTTAGTCACTAGTTACCTGTCAAATTGTAATCAGTAACGTAACTTTTGGATTACCCAAACTCAGTAATGTAATCGGATTACTTTCCGTTACTTTTGGATTATTTTCCCCTTAAGTGGCATTAGAAGCAGACAAAAAGGATCCATCAAATGCATTTGGTGATCATCATAGTCATAGTCATTTTTCATCATAGTGGTCTCTGAATTGTGGTCAGACTCGCTTTTGGAACAAACAAACAAACTTGCGAGAAAACAGAAATATGTATTTTTTGCCAAACATCATTTCTGAATTTAAAAGTAATCAAATAAGTAATCGTCTAGTTTTTCAAAAGTATTAGTAATTTGATTACAATCTTTTTTCTGATAATGTAACCATGGCTTTAAAGTGCGACCATTACAGTTTGCGTTTTTTTGTAATCAGATTCCATGTAATCAGTTACTCCCTGTGAACAGTACAGTATAAACTATGTGGACTGGACTATGTGGGTACAGCCCCCAACCCATGTTATTGTGTTTTACAGAAAGAAAGCATTGGTTTGTTGTTCATTGTTGATGATGGTACCATTTTCTGTCAGGAGTCTGGCCCTCTGTCCACTGATGTCGTTGATCTGGCGAACATTCTCATCATTCTTAGTCTTGATCTCGCTCAACTGGTCCTCAAGAGTACGGCACATCTTCTCCAGATTGCCCTGTTAGTGAAACATGTTCCATCATAACTTTATATATGGGACTCCTGTCAACTTCAGTTCACTTGAATGGTAATGTAGTTGACCCTCCTCAACACTGCTTGATCAAAGCATCACTACTCACCTTAGCCTTGGCGACGGCCTCCATGTTGCTGGAGAGGTCATCAATCTCCATCTTGTACTCACTCTTCTCCTTCTCCAGCTTCTGCTTTACGCGCTGCAGGTTGTCGATCTGCTCCCCGAGCTCAGCCACACTGTCGGCCTGCTTCTTGCGCAGAGCGGCGGCTGTGGCCTCGTGCTGCAGAGTGGACTCTTCAAGATCACGACGCAGCTTCTGGAACTCAGCCTCACGCTTCTTGTTCATCTCAATCTGTGCAGCAGTGGCGCCTCCGGCCTCCTCCAGCCTCTCGCTGATCTCCTCAAGTTCCCTGGAGAGATCGGCCCTCTGTTTCTCAACCTTAGCCCTGGCAGCACGCTCAGCCTCAATTTCCTCCTCCAGCTCCTCAATCCGGGCCTAGAACAGGGGGCAGGAGCAGGGAGGGATGAACACTACAATACATAAAATAATAATAGTATGTATATTTTTCAGAAATGTGTTCATACAAAGCCAGTTACACTAATATAATAAGTAAATAGTGTCCCATGCGGGAACCAAAACCATAACAGTAAGAAGCACCAGCAAGAAGCACCATGTTTCAACCTACAAGCCACCAGGTAAAATGTGTGCTACCAGAATATTTTTTTATGAAATGTTTCAGGTGTGTGCTTTCCTGTACTGTACCTGGAGTTCCTTGATCTTCTTCTGCAGCTGAGATCCCAGAGACTGCTCATCCTCAATCTTGCTGAGGAGCTGGGAGGTCTCAAACTCCTTCCTAAGAAACACAAACACGTCGATTGCAAAGATGGTTTTGGTTCGATAGTGTAAAGAGAGAGTATTATACGAATCACATGCAAATGCTATTTCATAATTTCAAGAATTAGTCAAGAACAACCATTATGATCAAGATGGCAGGTAATACTGTAGTAATTCATTTGTGTTTACTTCTTGATTTTCTCATCAGACTGCTGCTTGTCATTCTCCAGGTCCATTATGGACTCCTGGGCCAGTTTCAGATCTCCCTCCAGCTTTCTCTTGGCTCTCTCTAGGTCCATACGGAGCTTCTTCTCTTGCTCCAGAGAACCCTCAAGCTACAAGATAAAAACACACATGTATTTTTCTTATGTAAACAACTGAAGATAATATCATCTTACATACTATCATGGCCAAAATGTCAAACTCCACTCACGTCGTCCACTTGCTGTTCCAGCTTGGTCTTGGACTTGGTCAGAGTGTTGACTTTGTCCTCCTCTGCCTGCAGGTCGTCCAGTGTCTGCTGGTGGGCCTCTTGGAGGGCTTTCTTCTCCTTGGTCAGCTTGGCAACACTCTCATCCATAGATGCCATCTCCTCTGTCAGGTTTTTAACCTGAAAACGGCCACAACAAAATTAGTCTTTGGGCACTTGACCATAAAGGGGAGAATTAGTTTGATATGTATTGCATTTATTTCATTCAGATTAGAAATGTCAACAAGTACTGTACTATAGATTGAACACTAGATGGCAGTGTACTCAATGCCAGTATACTGAATGGAAGTCATAAAGGGGGCGCAGTACATACAATGAATGTAGGGAGTACCACTATTCCACTATTTTGTGTCTTCATTTTTCCTGCACCCAACTGGAATTCAATTTCTGTTGAGCTATGTTTTGAGTTGATTATTGTTTGGTTAGACTGTCTATGGAAGACACAAGACCTTGTTTTCAGTTGCGTGCTTCTCCTTCTCCACTTTGGCCAGGGTGAGCTCCAGGTCATCAATGTCCTTCTTCAGCTCAGAGCATTCATCCTCCAGCTTCCTCTTCTTGGCAGTCAACTCAGCATTCATCTCCTCCTCATCCTCCAGCCTCTCAGTCGTCTCTTTGAGTTTGGCCTCCAGCTGGATCTTGCTCTTGATGAGCCCCTCGCACCTTTCCTCAGCATCGTTCAGATTCTCTGATTCCTGGTTTCAGAACAGGAGAAAAATCAGCAGCCTCACTTTGTGTATCAACATATAGATTTGATTCAGTCAGAGGTCAGAGCAAATCTATATAAATTCATGAAATATATATTTAACATGGGCAATAAAAATGTGTGTCCTTGTTTTGTACCACTGTTTTGTATTCATATTTACGTAAATGTTCCTTTATGAGGTTTTTTCTCACTCACGGATGCAACTTGGAGTGCCAGATCATTCTTCTCTTGAAGCATGGACACCATCTTCTCCTCCAACTCTTTCTTGCGAGCCAGAGCCTTGGCCAGGTCTGTCTTCATCTTGTCGAAGTTCTCCTTCATGTTGGCCAGCTCCTTCTCAGTCTCGGCACTCTTCAGCAGGGGCTTGATCTTGAAGTACACCTTCATCCATGGCCAGGTTTTCACATTCATGAATGAGCGGATGTTGTACTGGATGGTGAAGACAGCATCTCTGGTCGACAGAAAGGACGGAGTGGCATGGTGAGTGACATGGTGAGTGGCATGGTGAGTGACATGGTGGGGCATGGTGAGGTGAGTGGCATGGTGAGTGGCATGGTGAGTGGCATGGTGAGTGGCATGGTGAGTGACATGGTGAGTGGCATGGTGAGTGACATGGTGAGTGACATGGTGAGTGACATGGTGAGTGACATGGTGAGTGGCATGGTGAGTGACATGGTGAGTGACATGGTGAGTGGCATGGTGAGTGACATGGTGAGTGACATGGTGAGTGGCATGGTGAGTTACATGGTGAGTGACATGGTGAGTGACATGGTGAGTGGCATGGTGAGTGGCATGGTGAGTGGCATGGTGAGCGGCATGGTGAGTGACATGGTGAGTGGCATGGTGAGTGGCATGGTGAGTTACATGGTGAGTGACATGGTGAGTGACATGGTGAGTGGCATGGTGAGTGGCATGGTGAGTGACATGGTGAGTGGCATGGTGAGTGGCATGGTGAGTGGCATGGTGAGCGGCATGGTGAGTGGCATGGTGGGCGGCATGGTGGGTGGCATGGTGGGTGGCATGGTGAGTGACATGGTGAGTGGCATGGTGAGCGGCATGGTGAGCGGCATGGTGAGTGGCATGGTGAGTGGCATGGTGGGTGGCATGGTGAGTGGCATGGTGAGTGACATGGTGAGTGGCATGGTGAGTGGCATGGTGAGTGGCATGGTGGGTGGCATGGTGAGTGACATGCTCAAAGCTACATTCTGGGATTTGAAGAACAACAAAACGGGCCTTCCCCAACACTTTTTGTCTACAGCTGAGGAATGGGGCTAAGGAAATGGAACCACTTTTAAATTCATAGACAGTGCTCTAGATGCATGGACTGACAGGTTATGCTTAAATCATGAGGCATTTTATATTCTTTAAGAATGAATGGGTAAATATCACAAATATAAATGACAACAGAACAGCTTGCCAAATCCCAAACTGCAGCATTAATAAAGCATTATAAGACATACTTTCTCATTCTGATCACCTCACAGCATATACAGTATGTAATCATAATGCATTACATACAGGTGGCCCACAGAAAGCTTTGCCAAAATGTCTACTATTCCTCACCTCCTCTCCATCATCTTGGTGAACTCTTTCCTCATGAGGAATCCACGGCTGAGAGCCTGGACCATGCCGACCAGAACGGCCAGCTTCTCATCTCTCATCTCCTCCAGGACACCCAGCAGACCGGCTTTGAAGAACACCTGAGGCACAGGTAAACATGGAACATTGGAACCACAGTCAGATGGTTACAGATAGAAAGGGTTGGATCAAAACAGGGCAACAACACCACTAGATTGATTTGAACAACATAAACATTGCATAGGCTGTTTCTAAGTTGTAAGTTATTGTACAGTTGTAGATGAATAATGTACACAGATACAGATAACTGCAACCAAACCACTATAAACCAATGCAACATGATAATGAGTTGAGTTTCTATACTTGTACGAATTTGAAGAAAAAAATTGTTTTTCAACCTTTTTCATTAGTTAAATGAAGATACTGGTGAGATGTTGAACAGTTAGGGTTGAAATGATCATTGAAGTTGTGTTTTGTTGTCAGCTTTTGCTGGGGGTATTTGACTGACCTTGGTGTGTCCAAACTTGTAATCGTCGTGATTTATGTCAATGGACCCAAGCAGCTTCTCTGAAGCCTTCTTGTTGTCCATGAACTGGCCCTCGGGGATGACACTGGCATTCAGTACTTTGTACCTGAATGAGGAGACATTTTTAACTTATGTGAAGTTGTAATAGGTTGGTTATACAGTGCATTCGGAAAGTATTCAGACCCCTTGACTTTTTCCACATTTTGTTACGTTACAGCCTTATTCTAAAATGTATTTTTAAAAAATATATTGTTCTCATCAACCTACACAGAATATCCGATAATGACAAAGCAAAAACTTGTTTAAAAGGTAATCCTATTCTGATGCTGGGAAAACCCTTGGAGCTTTCTCTGTGTGTGTGTGTGTGTGTGTGTGTGTGTGTGTGTGTGTGCATTTGTGTTTGTGTGTGTGTACCTCTGCTTGAAGTCAGCATAGATGATTCTGCTGGGGAAGCCCTTTCTGCAGATCCTGATACCCTCCAGAACACCATTACACCTGAGCTGGTGGATAACCAGGAAGTTCTCCATCAGACCTGGTAAAACAAACCAAGTCTCTTTTAATACACATAAACAGATTAAAGATTGGGCTCATTAAGGTTACTCATACTGTATTGATAAGATGTAATATTTAACTCAATATTTCTTGTACCTGGAGTCTTTGACTCGTTGGGGATCAGGCAGCGCACAAAGTGAGGATGAGTGCTCCTCAAGTTGGTCATCAGCTTTTGTAAGTTCTCCTGTAAGAGGGTTACAAACCATTTTCTCAGACATCATTTATGATAATCAATGCACCTTTTGAAGGACTGAATATATATATTTCAAGAGCTCACCCTGAACTGGGAGGACACAGTCTGCATGGAACCACCCTTCTTCTTGCCTCCTTTCTTGGTTGTATCTGTTCAAATGTGGAAAAGTAAAATATAATTATGAATAAGAGAATCGAATGCAAACACTACCATTGAGATTGTGTAAAATAACACCTATTGTATGTGTAAATTAACCCAGTGAATAACCCTGAGAAATGGTGATACATTCAAAGGCTTAGGTGAAAAATCTGTCGATGTGCCCTTGAGCAAGGCACTTAACCCTAATTGCTCCTGTAAGTCGCTCTGGATAAGAGCGTCTGTAAATGACTAAAATGTAAGAAGAAGCCTCGAACGCACAGCAAAGTTGAAACTGTGAATTTCAAAACGTGACTGGAGAGAATCAACGAATACAGCAAAGTGCTGCTGTTTTTATTTTAGTGAGTTCATGTTTAAGTTGTTATTCAACACTTTGTTAAACACTTTTATAAGACGTTATTATTAAACACTGTCAACACTTTGTTCAATAATGCAGTGCGACTTGAGTTTCGCCATCAGCTGGAAGACTGTGTCCCCTTTTCTCAGCGGAGGGAGGGAGAGAGGAGGGACGGTGAGTTGGGTGAGAGGCAGCCTCACCGCGCTGTTCCCTCCCTCCCTCCCTCCCCACAGACTGACCATCAGATGAAGGCCATCAGTTCAGTAAAAAAAAAAAGCTAATTATTATGCTCACTCAGCTATGCTTAAAGACAATGTGGGTCTGAGTTGTAACTAGGGCTTAATTAAATATGTTGACGTGATGCTGGTCTTACCCTCAGGTGGGGCAGCAGGATACAGGGCAGCCAACAGTTTAACTGAGGACTTCCCGTACATCAGAATAACTGAGTCGTTCAGGGGGTCCTTGTTCTTCTCCAGCCAGCCAGTGATGTTGTAGTCCACAGTACCGGCGTAGTGCACCAGGGAGAAGTGGGCCTCTGCCTTGCCTTTGGCAGGCTTGGGCTTCTCATATGCCTTGGTTTTGCCAAGATGTTGGTCGTTCAGTTTGTTCTTGAAGGTAGTGTCTGACGCCTTGGGGAACATGCACTCCTCTTCAAGGATGGAGAAGATGCCCAATGGCTTTACAAAGGAGATGTATATCAAATGAGTGATATTTACATTTAGGATCACATTTATTCCTTTAGCAAACATGCTTTTATAGGATTCTATTCATTTAGGGGCACATAATAGGAAACATATTGAGTTCAGATACGTTGTACCACTGTGATATTATCTCCCAATGCGCTCCCTATGAGCTTTGCTGTTGATGCCCATAATAATCCTTACAGATAACTTACCTTCTCAATAAGCTCAATGCAGGCAGCCAAGTCCATGCCAAAGTCAATGAAGGCCCAGACGATTCCCTCCTTCTTGTACTCCTCTTGCTCCAGGACGAACATAGTGTGGTTGAAAAACTGTTGCAGTTTCTCATTGGTGAAGTTGATGCACAGCTGCTCCATGCTGTTGTACTGTTGATGGAATTTCAAAAGGGATAATGTCATCATACAGGGCTGTAATCCTTCTCAATGACAACTAATTGTCTTGTTCTGGTCTCATACTCACATCAAAGATCTCAAACCCGGCAATATCGAGCACACCAATATAGAACTGCCTTGGATTCTTGGTGTCCAACATCTCGTTGATACGGACGACCATCCACAAGAACATCCTCTCATAGATGGACTTGGCCAAAGCCATGACTGCGTTATAAACCTGCAATGATAATACCTCAAATTAATACATGAGATATTGACCATGTCTAGTGATATGGTGATATTTTTTAAAAAGCAATGCAATTGCCCCCAAAATAATTCTGGTGGTCAGAAAATGGTTGATGCTGTGTTTGACCACATTACCTGAGGCACAGTCTGTCCCTTGGTCACGTACTCGTTGCCGACCTTCACTCTGGGGTAGCACAGAGCCTTCAGCAACTCAGCTGAGTTCAGGCCCAGCAGGTAGCCGATTTTATCAGCAACTGGAGAGAGAGCCAACAACAACAGATCGCTTGTTTCTGATGTCACACGGACAAAATAGTTTGGCCAGCTCTTTGTAGGTTAGGTTAAGATTTTAACCCACATCCATTATTCAAATCCTTTCTGGAGGTTGGAATTTGGTCTCCAAAATGATATCCTGCCTGACTTTCATGTGGCACTGTCTGTCTTGGTCATCTCCATGTGAAAGGACCCATGAGCACCAACATTTGAAGTTCATCGGAGCATATCATTGGAACATGTCAAATTGGGTGTCAAATGAAAGCTAAGAGTCTATATTTTTTTTTAGAAATTAAGGCATATACAATTTTTTCAACCATTTTCCACCCTGAAAATGAGGAATCAGTAAATGCTTTGATTTCTGGTCAAACAGATGGAAAAGGGTCTTCGAAAACATCTACCGGAAAAACTCTTAAAAGGTATTAGAAATACATAAAAAACACAATGTTGTAGTAAAGACCCTTTCAACTAATATCAACACTTATATTTCATTTGGGAGAAATGTTTCTGTAAGTTTAAAACATGATCTAGAACATTCTAAAAGTTAAAATATGTTCTAGATTCTCTCCTAGAGGAGGGAGGATGATGAACGTAAAGGTAGACCTACCAATTAGTTAGTCTTTACTAATATCAATTTTGTTTATGAATTATTAAGTGATTAAAACTCTAGATGCTCTGTACTTTGATGTCCAAACTTGTGAAACAAGTCTATATATAAAATATACACAGTATATAAAAAAGATATATATATATTTTATTTTATTATTTTCCCCTAACCCTAATTAAACTAATGGACAACAACAATTAGGCTTCTACTTCCAGCTTATACATACTAATAACATTTTTGGACACAGTCAATTTTACAATAATTCAATTTTTTTGTTCACAGTATATGTTACCTTAGTTATGTTGTTATTTTTAGTCCTAACCTTCAGCTCCCCTCAACCCATCTATCACTGAACACCATCCAGTTTTGATTTCTATTTGGCATATATTTTTCAACTGTGCTTTGACGTTTCACAAAAGTACTGAACCTTTCTTTTCTCATAGTTTCTAAATATTGTAAATTAAAGATAAACATTTTTGCTAAGAGTATTATTATATCATTGATGGATTTACTATGACTTTTCAAATAACCCAGCAGTGCCATTTGCAGACATTGTTAAATCTTAATTCGGAGCAGATATTTAAGAGAAAAAAATGAGGGAGATTTTACCAAAATTCTTCTTACCAAATTTTGCATCTGCACAGTTATTCCAGTAAATGTGTTTTTGTAATATGTTCAGTGTAAATTGTTAAAAGTGGTCATTGGTCATAGAGTTGAATGTTTTTTTTTTAAACTTTAAAATTCATGATTTTTGTTTGGCATACATTTTAAGTGAAAAATGTGACTTTGTGGAATTGCCCTCTTATGTGTTCTATTTCTATGTTTGGGACTGGGAAAGGGACTAATGCTTTCCATATTGTATATCTTTGAGTGGGACTCACCCTCTGTTCCATCTGACTCGGCCTGCTCCTCACGCTGCTTCTGCTTGAATTTCAAGTTGCCATGGTGCATTACAGCTCCTGTCAGCTTGTAGATGGCCATCTTCTCATCATTAGAGAAGCCCAGGATTGTAATGGCATCCTGGCATTAGAGAGGAAGTACAACCGTGAAGAACTGAACGGCAGTTTGCTCAGTTACAGTACACTACCGTTCTGGGTTCAGTCCAGAACAAATGGGATGGATACAATTGACTGGCTTCTCTGTTCCACATGATTGCTCTTGGCCAACACACTAGTATATGGCAGCACAAAATTAGTTTTACACAGTTCCACAGGGCATATAGTGGCAGTCTCTTGTGGATGTCTTACAGGTATGTGCCTCAAGGCGAAGAGTGAAGGCATGAAGAGTGCCTTGAAGCACGTGCCTAACTAACACAAGGTGCCCTGCTGCCACCAAGTTGGAATTGCACAGTGCATTCAGTGTGTATGGTGATCCTACCCATTCCATATCTAGAGTTTGGTTAACACTTTGTATGACTCACATCTGTGGCATCCAGCTCGACCTTGTCGTCGATGCTGGCCACAGTGATCTGACCCTGGCTGATCATGGGGAAGTCGTAGGGGTTGGTGGTGATGAGCGTCATTTCTGTGGACAACGGATAATGGTTTGTCAGTTAAATCTCTTAGAATTGTGCTGTCCTACCTTTACAGTATCTCTTCCTCCTTTACTCAATAGATGGACTCAAGGATACATGTAGTATATAATACATAGCATCAAAAGAGGGGACTGAGGCTCCTGGACTAGTGCATCACAGTGCATTACTTGATATATCTTTCCCATGAAAGACCTTGAAAGACCTGACCCATGTTTAGATGCCTTGTTACCTTGGATGTAGTCATTGTAATAATATTAACAGTGTGGAGTAGGAAAATGTTTAATAAATTCCACAGATGGGGGTGGAAATAATTTCACATAAACCTCTACTTTGCCTTACCAACTAGCTCAGGTTTGTGGTTGGTCATCATCTGGTAGAAGATATGGTAGCCTCGCTCAGCGGGCAGCTGGAAGGCCACTCTGGACTTCTCGAGCAGGTCTGAGAGAGAAAGAGAACAAGTGATAGAAAAATATGATATCTGATGATATGATCTCCTCAAAATATGCTGTGTGAATAAAAAATATTCTCCAGTACTTTTGTATACTTTATAGCCAGTAGTTCTGAAAGTATCGCTCACGAGTCAAAAATGGTCCCCGAAAATTTCGTACTACCTCACATATGTGCAGATATGTGCACCAAGTCATTACTCTCTCTTTTGCTCTGCTGTGTGTGCAAATTGCTAGCTGTCACTCAAATGGCGAAGGGCTGAAGCTCATTGGCTGAAACTTGAATTGCTAAGGTCACCTGGGGGGAAATGTAGGGAAAAATTGAGCCACACAACTTCCAGAAAACAGTCGCTTTAAAACTAGGGATTTCCTGGCTAATTAAGTTAAGACAGATTGTGCATGTATGAACTACACATTGACACATCCAGCCCAAAGCGCGAGATTTAAAAAATACTTGCTAGTCTTCAAAGTTCCGGAGCAAGTCTTTAAGGAAAGCATTGAGAAACAATCAAAACCAACTCACAGGTCTCAATGTCAGCTTTAGCCAGTTTGCCTCCTTGGAAGTGAATCCTGATGAATTTACCCTATAGTAGAGCATGGGGGTTAGAAATAGGTCAACTAAATAAATCTACCATTTTACTTTGATAGACCCCTTGAAATGTTACAGTTCGTTGGACATCTATTGATACAACTATAGGGAACTACTGACATTTTTCCACCCAATATAACGTACTTCCACAGTCAATTCTTCATACTTACGAAGCGAGACGAGTTGTCGTTCCTCACTGTCTTGGCATTACCGTAAGACTCCAGCAGAGGGTTAGCTGCAATGATCTGATCTTCAAGAGACCCCTGATTTGAGAAAAAACACAAGTTGCTCAGAAACTGGGAAACACTTTACTTAAAACAGTATTCAGCACTTGAATTTTTTTTTTACACAGCCCACCAAACTGAAATATGTTAAAAAGGCATAACCTACCTGCATTTTGGTGGGGTCTACTTCCTTCTTGACACCAGAAACTGCAATGGTGGCGAAGTACTGGATGACACGCTTGGTGTTGACAGTCTTTCCTGCACCGGATTCTCCACTGGTTTATATGACCGAGAATGATGGGTTTAAGTGTCATATTGGCTTTTGCTAAGAAATAGCACTGACAAATACACTGTTCACCTGTTTTCTAACATAAGTAAATCATTAACAAATATTTCCACTCATCGACTCAATATTACGCACAGTCTAATCCATTCATAATGCCATGTATACTGAACACATATATAAACGCAACATCCAACATTTTCAACGATTTTACTGTATTACAGTTCATATAAGGAAATCAGTCAATTGAAATAAATTCATTAAGCCGTAATCTATGGATTTCACACGACTGGGAATTGTGTTGTGTGACAAAACTGCACATTTTAGAGTGGCCTTTTATTGTCCCCAGTGCAAGGTGCACATGTGTAATGATCATGCTGTTTAATCAGCTTCTTGATATGCCACACCTGTCAGGTGGATGGTTTATCTTGGCAAAGGATAAATGCTCACTAACAGGGATCTAAACACATTTGTGCACAGAATTTAAGAGAAATAAGCTTTTTGTGCGTATGAAACATGGGACCTACACTTTACATGTTGCGTTATATTTTTGTTCAGTATATTTTCATCACACCCAAGTGACCTAATCCATTCATAATGTCATGTATTTTATAACACCGTGACCTAATCCATTCATAATGTCATGTATTTTATAACACCAAGTGACCCAACATATTACAATAGAAACATCTTCTCAAGTGGAATTATAGTATATAACTTACGTAATCAGGACGGACTGGTTCTCCTTATCTAGAACCAAAAAACATGTTCCTTATTATACTCAAGCAACATTATGGGTACATAATTGCATTCATAAGCATCATCATGAATTTCATGTTGGTACATTTTCCATTCAAGTCTAGTGAAATCAAATATTCCGAGCAAACTGCTTTAACTAGAAAACAGTAAATACCATCCATCCATGCATGCATCCATCCATCCATGCATCCATTTACATTTTACATTTTAGTAATTTAGCAGATGCTCTTATCCAGAGCTATTTACAGTTAGTACATTCATCTTAAGATAGCTGGGAGGGACAACCACATATTACAGGCATAGAAAGTACATTTTTCCTCGATTTTTTTACATTTACATTTTTTGTCATTTAGCAGACGCTCTTATCCAGAGCGACTTACAGTTAGTGAGTGCACACATTATAATTTTTTCATACTGGCCCCCCCCGTGGGAATCGAACCCACAACCCTGGCGTTGCAAACACCATGCTCTACCAATTGAGCTACATCCCTGCCGGCCATTCCCTCCCCTACCCTGGACGACGCTGGGCCAATTGTGCGCCGCCCCATGGGTCTCCCGTTCGCAGCCGGCTACGACAGAGCCTGGATTCGAACCAGGATCTCTAGTGGCACAGCTAGCACTGTGATGCAGTGCCTTAGACCACTGCGCCATCAATAAGGTAGCTGTCAGTAGAGTCAGAGCTAGAAGTGCTGGTTAAGTGTTATTTTATATATATATATTTTTGTTGCATCCATTCATTCATTCATTCCATCCATCTATTTATCTATCTATCTATCCATCCATCCATGAGAGCTCGTACCAATCATCATGAACTGAAAGGCGTTGTCAGAGACGGAGAAGATATGGGGTGGAGCCTCCATCCTCTTCTTCCCTCTGTAGGCGTTGACAACCTCTTCGTCGTACACGGGGAGCCACTTGTAGGGGTTCACCGTGGCACAGAAGAGCCCAGAGTAGGTCTGGTTGAAAGGGATTCAATGAAATTAAGGGATTTATGTGAGGATGAGGGTGTGCTTTGATATACTAATGTGGATCTACTGTATTGGTATGTTTTGGTTTCTACCGTTCATTTCTGTGTAGTACTGTTTGTGTGTTCATGCATGTGGGAATTTCTTATGTTCATTTACAGTATGTGTGTATGTTTATGCAGGTTTCTTACATAAATCATCCATGCTGCATAACGCTCTTTGAGGTTATACAACACAGAGGCTTCATTCAGGTAGGTCATCATGGCCATGTCCTCAATCTTGTCGTACTTAGGGGGGTTCATCTGGTAGATGTCTGCTTCTTTGAACTCTTTATCCTGAAACGGTCAGAAATCTAGATTACGCACGGATCAAACTGGACATGACTGAATGCTTTTTGCTCATTAAATACAAGTTCAATCTTTTTAAAAATGCATTGTTTTATTCCCCCTCTGACATGGTGATTCTTGACTAGTCTATATCAGTAACATTTTTAAATAGTAGCAATAAAAATGTTCTGTTATATTTATTTATTTTTAACTTTTATTTAACCACATTGTCTCATTTGGAAATGTGCCCTGGGAACAATACAGAATAAAAAAGTATACACAATTTAAAACACAAAATTAAATAAATAGCTAACGTTATATACAAAATAAACACATGAATCAATATAAAAATCCCTAGAGTTTCTCCTAAACTGACCTAGAGATAACAACATATCCAAATGAAACGTTACTTGGAGATTATTCCACATTTTATATATATATATATATATATATATATAGGGGCCTGGTAGGAGAAGGGAGATTTACCCAACTCTGTGGATACACGTGAAGTCTCCATCGTTAACCAACCCTGTGATCTAGTGTTGTAATCCGAGTTTCTATATTTAAAGATTTGAAGGTTATATATATATATATATATATTATTATTTTTTAACAAAGAAATGCTTCTTAATCTATTTTTTTGTTACTGATTTCATATTGGCTTTTGGCATGTTATTTTGATCATTTGAATAATTTTTTACTTGAGTACTTTTCAGATCAGACTTACCACTTTAGTGCCGTCAGCATTCGTGACTTTTACAGTACACTTTCCCTCTGTCCTGCCAATGATCAGACCCTTAAGGTAAAGCTCCTTGACGTCTGTCACATAGCAGGCGTTCTTTGAATCAAAGGGCGTGGCTTGTGCCTCCATCCTCTCCTTCTCGGGTTTACGAAGGTACAAGGCAGCCTTGCCGTAGATTTGCATCTCCGCGTCCGTACTCATGGTGACGGATCACTAGGAAAGAGATGAAACAAGAGACATGATTGACTCTGTGGTGCATTCCTCCCCAGTCAACAGAGTCAGCGGTATCTCACACAGAATATTTTCACCTTCACTTTTTTATATGAAGACTCAAACCACGTCTCACCTTCTTTTCCCACTCCTACAGATGAATTTGTACGTCTTGGAGGACCCTGTGAAAACATTAAGGTGTTGTGAATACGCACAAGTCTAAAACCTTATCGTAGATAAGGCCCAGAAGGGCAAGAAGACATCTCAATCAACTTATCGTAGAATCAGAAAAGCAAGAAAACATTTTGAATGGCGTCAATCATCTCAATCATTACAGCCATTCCATCCAATTCAACTGCAGGTGCAACTGGAAACGTTCATGTTCTTACTTTACTGTACATTCTGTCAAATAGCCCTGAAAAACCCAGTTACATTCTAGACCACCCCCCTCAATTTACAAACAAAATGCAGGTGCAGCACTTTTGACCGTGAATGAAAGTGACAGATTTTAAGCAAAACACATTTAAAGTCAACATTTTACAAATTACATTTTAAAATCAATGCCACTTGATTGCATATTATAAAGTCTTACGAGATATGAAAGAGAAAAAAAAGTTTAAAAAATGCTGAACTCAAACAGTGCAGTTAGTTACTGCCTCAGATGCTGAGCGCAAATATGAAACTGTATGTACAAATCTAAGGAGGCGGAGAGAGTCTTACCACAGAGGAAGAAGGTATCTGACTTAAGAACGCTGAGGCCTCAGCCTCCTTATATCTGTTTGGAAGTGCCAAGCAAGCAAAAGTTAATTATGGACCACTCTGGTGAAGGAAATGGATTGGATGAGAGACCTCTGTGTGTCTGTGTCTCACTAGCCCCACCCACTTCCAGGAGAACCACACTCCTTATTCTTTAACCATTGATTGTTCTAGACTATGTTGAGACCTTAAGGAGGATCAGGTTACCTACTGCAGGAATGTCTGCATGTGACATGTCCATCTAACCTGCTACGAGAGTAAAGCTCTGTGGCTGACCTTGAGCTGTTGTACTTATTAAACTTGTACAAACTGTAATTTACGTAAATCAAATACAGTGCTTTAGTTTAGAACTCAACCTACTGCTTGAATGTAAATCTCAACGTTCGCGATCTCCCGCTATCTGCAAGTCATAACACCTTATTGATATGAAATTCACTTATTTTCTTATTTAAAGGTGTTATGAATGTTGCTATGAACGGTACAACAACATTTACGTAAAGGTGTTATGAATGGTTTTTCAAAAGTGCTTTGAACGCCTTTATGTGTATCACCTTCAGATAAAGGAAAAGTAATAACGTGTCACCAAAAGAATCACAAATCCTGAAACACTTCCTGTCTTTCTCCACATTGGAGATTTCAGCTGAGATTTATCCTTAAGGTTTGATATACTAGTGCGATTTGTATTTGTTAAGAGACATAGGTTCATGGTATCAATCAACTCTTTTTCTTTCAAGTCAATCATTTCACAGCTTTTAATATCCATTGAATCTTTTCTGTCAAACGTCTACAATCAATTGTTGTGTAAAAGTTATTTATTTCCAATTGGTTCAGCTAAATTAATGTGGCATTTTGTTTTATTCAATCATGCGTCTCATCCGATCCCCTACTAGCAGAATAAAGTTGTCACAATGTTCTCCCAACCTATTTGCAACAATGTGACAATGTCATGTATTTATAAAGCCACTGTTGGAAACATCATAGGGGGCGCTGCAGGAGTCATGTTGAGTAGGCAAGGCCAACAGTCTTTTAATTTCTTGAGCTATGCTATTCTCATCTCTGCAGTCGAGGCTTATTGTTTGAAGCCTTTGTAGTGATTGAGTATCGGCCAACTCTTCCACACAGCTGTCACAACATATTTTCTGGACGCGGTTGTGGATAGAGAGAGTCTTCATGCCATGCAGATTATTAAAATGGAGTTCATGACTTTCAAGATATTTTAATGGGCAGGTGTGTAGATATCTTACATGATATTTGACATTTGTCATGGTATCAGCGGGACATGTTTCTCTTAGATCCACAATTGGGTATAAGCTTTCCTTAGAATCAGCTTACCAAGTCCTCAACTTAACCATTACGGGGGAAATTACAAAACAGATCTTAGATCAATGTCAAAGTAATTCTGTGCTTACCTGGTACTCCAAGCTAGAGGGCACACCTGTACACTTGGCCACAAAGGCCAAAGCTCAGGATTCTCATAATGGAGTGAGCACTGTAACGGAGTGGTAAAACGGTACCTGGACAGGAAGGGGTAAAGGTGTGCTGTAGATGAATGTAGCGGACCAAGCCCAGTTCTGGAGACCTGCTGGCAGTGTGCACAGGCTTTGTTCACTGACACACCTGATTGATTTGAATCAAGACTATGAGCAGTTGTTTAGCTGAATCAGCTGTGATAGAGCTGACACGCCTGATTGATTTGAATCAAGACTATGAGCAGTTGATTAGCTGAATCAGCTGTGATAGAGCTGCGGTGGAACAAAAGCCTTGCAGCTGTCCAGAACCGTTGCCAAACCCTGATGCTATTGTTAACCGCCAGCTGTCAATAACTGTGCAAAAATTCTGAGATTGTTTTTCCAGGCCGCATATCTCAGTGTTAAATCTATTACAGTAGCCAATGTCAGCAATGTGAGGACAGGGTCGACATACATTTTCAAAATATTGTGCTGTCCTGCACCCGATACCTCTGTGTTCCACAGTATAGGTTGTCAGGGCTTTACTTCTACAGCTGTTAGGTTGGGTGGTGGACTCAGGTGCAGAGACGGACACACGGACAAAGAGAGTAAAATTAGGATGTAGTTTATTCAACGTGTATTGGCAGAGAGAAGTAGTCAGGGTGGAATAGCTTCAGGCTGGGGTAGGAGCTGAGTGGGGTGGAGAGCCAGTAGTCCTGAGAGCTGGATAACGAGGATATCAGGCAACAGAGGAGCAGGTAGCGGCGTGGGAATGGCAGGCAGGCAGGCAGGCAAGCAGGCAGCAGGAACAGACGAGATCTGGTCGAAGGAGAGACAGGTTACAAAACGTGGCAGGAACAACAATAATACTGAGAGAGTACAACTACACTGAGAGTGCTGTACGGGCCAAGTTACCACTGGAAGTGTAGGAACGAACTGGCGCTGGAGAGGTGTCCAGCCCGGGTAGATATCTGCTGCTTGATTGGTGCCAATGAGCTGCAGCTTGATGTAACTGCTCTGGTGATAGAATGGCCACGCCCGCTGACCTAGAACCTCTGACTGCACAGCAGGGGGAGACAGACACAAAACAACACACACAGGGGAGAAAAGGGAAAGGAACACCAACAGGAACAGGACCAACAGAGCCGGACCGTAACAGTACCCCCCCCTCAACGGGCGCCACCCGGCGACCCACCCGGCTTGTCAGGGTGGTCCCTATGGAAGTCATTCACTAGCTGAGGATCCAGAATAAAACGTCTGGGAATCCAGGACCTCTCCTCGGGACCGTATCCCTCCCAGTCCACCAGGTACTGAAGCCCTCTACCACGCCTTCGGACGTCCAGCAGTCTCCGAACCGTGTAGGCTGGATGGTCGTCAATAATGCGCGGTGGCGGAGGGGGATCCACCGGCGGACACAAAGGACTGGAGGAGACCATCTTCAGCTGGGACACGTGAAATGTGGGATGGACTCTCATGGCCTGGGGAAGCTTCAACCGAACAGCCGAAGGGTTGATGATGGATTCGACCTCAAAAGGACCCAAATATCGGGGCGACAGTTTACGGGAGTCAGTGCGCAGGGGAATGTTGCTGGAGGAGAGCCAGACACGCTGACCAGGCTGGAACTGTGGAGCGACTACCCTGTGCCTGTCCGCCACCCTCTTATTCCTCTCTTCTGTCCGTAGAAGGGCCTCACGGGTGTCCACCCACACCTTGCGGCAGCGACGAAGGTTATCCTGAACTGACGGGACGGTTAACTCCTTTTCCTGAGACGGGAACAATGGCGGTTGGTACCCCAAAGCCGCCTCAAAGGGTGAAAGGCCGGTGGCAGATGAGGTGAGGGAATTGTGGGCATATTCGACCCACGGGAGGTGTTTGGCCCAGGTGGACGGGTTCTGGGATGTCACACAGCGTAGAGCAGCCTCCAGGTCCTGATTGGTCCTCTCAGTCTGGCCATTGGACTGGGGATGGAACCCTGATGAGAGACTGACAGAGGCACCCAGAGCAGAACAAAACTCCTTCCATACCCGAGAAATGAACTGTGGACCTCTATCGGACACTATGTCCACAGGTATTCCATGGGGACGGAATACATGTAGGACAAAGAGGTCGGCCGTCTCACTGGCAGACGGTAATTTTGGTAATGCAACAAAATGGGCAGATTTAGAGAATCTGTCCACGATGGTGAGTATGGTGTCATTACCCTCAGACATAGGAAGTCCAGTGACGAAGTCCAAGGCCACGTGAGACCAAGGACGACTCGGGACTGGGAGAGGCCGCAGCAGGCCCGAAGGAGCCCGGTGGGAAGCCTTATTTTGGGCACAGATGGAGCAGGCCGCCACGTACTCCCGGACGTCAGTCTCGACGGATGGCCACCAAAAGTGCCTCTTCAGTAGCGACAGTGTACGGTTCATACCAGGGTGGCAGGAGAAGCGCGAGGTGTGGATCCAGTTGAGCACTTGCGGCCGCACTGCTGCGGGAACATAGAGAAGGTCGGGGGGGCCATCGGTCGGTCCAGGTTCCGACTCTTGTGCCGATCGGACGAGGGACTCGATTTCCCAGTGAACCGCCGCCACCAAACAGGAAGCGGGCAGAACAGGTTCAGGATTGCTGGAGTCTTCATTGTCTGTAAACTCAGCCAGGTCCAAGTACTCCTCAGGGACTGAAGAGAGGTCTGGGGTTTTGACAGGGGAAGCAGGGGAACCTACCGAGGGCGGAATAGCCGACCCAAGGCAAGCAGAATGGCAGTGAGTGCTCCAACTGTGTATCTTGTGGTTTTGCCAGTCAATATGGGGGTTGTGAAGGCGAAGCCAAGGGAAACCGAGGATAAGGGGGGAGTCCGAGGAGGAGACTACTTTAAACTGGATGGTTTCTTTGTGATTACCGGACAGCATGAGAGAAACGGGGACAGTTTGGTGGGTGATGTTGCCAAACTGACGGCCGTCTATAGCGGTTACTGTTATAGGCTTAGGCAGG